TTGGAAGTTTGCGGGTGACCTACTCTGAGTTGTTAAAATGAGCAAAGGGTTTCTTAGATCAAATTCCTGCACATTGACATGTTTCTTGACAGTGAAGATTACATACAAGTGTTAGTAAGGAGAGTTCGTGTTAAGCACCAAAAGGCACATCTCTGAACCATTGTTTTATATGGGCACTAGGCTGGAAATGGGACTAATTCTGAAGGATACTTCTCTCCCCTTTATTTTTTATTTTTTTTAAATCACTGTCAAGAAGGATGAGGAATACTGGTAAAGGTTTTTTTTTATAAAAAGTTTTTATTTTTTTAAGACAAACTCATACAAACAAAATATAAAAACATAAAACCATCTTCCATTTTATATACATACAGTGTGTCAATTGGTTACAAATCTTTCGTGCTATCCTTTTGTAGTCATTACTCACCGGTAGAGGTTTTTGTATGTGTGTTTAGCTTTGGGAGTTGCTGCAAAGAGTTCCCACTAGGGACAGTTGTAAACTGATCTTCAGAAAGAGAAGTGTTTTTAAAATAAGCAACAGCAACAACACTCGGCTGTCTTATTTGGCTCCCTGCCACCAGCACTTCCATCTCTCTCGCTTTGATCCTCTTATATTTGGACTCTGGCTAGTAACGCCTCCTATCTGGACTGAGCAGCTGAGAGTTGCTCCAAGGGAGGCTGTACGTGGCTACGGAGGGAGATTCTCAGGGCACCACGGATTGCGTTTCCCTCTTGCACAACGTAGGGTGAGCCTCCAGCCCACCACTTTGTACATTCTTGGTGTGCCTGTGAGCTCTGTGTGCCTGTGAACAGCGCTTCCTCTGAGCTGCTGGCTGGTTTTTGGAAGAAGGAAGAGGAAACCCCCCAAAGAACCCTGCAATTCTTTCAGATGTTCAGAAGACGACTCGGCTAAGAGCTGGATCACGCTGGGCCATGTAGGTTTTTCATTTCTCCGTTGACTGCTAGGCCAAATGCTGGACTGCCTGTTTGTGATACACTTAGAAGTGATCCGAGACTCTTTATTTCTCGTGATATTATATGAGGGCCAATGGAAAATACGCCAAATGCATATCAAGAGTTCATAAGGAACTCTTTCCTTTCAACAGGAAATAACTTTGGCTTCTCCAATCCAGTAGGTTGGCCTTTTCATATGAACACCGCCTTTTGTATCGGGAGGTAACAATTATAATTTAATATGATTGCCTGATCAAGAGGTTTGCAAGGCAGAGGAAACCGTCACGGCCATATTTTTAATGCTACAGAAGAGCCTGTTCGATGACTTGATCAAGTACAGCAGCTTAAATGACAACGCCTGCAGCTCTGCAAAAAAAGGATGCAAATGGACTCCTCCGTGCCTGCTCTCCAAAGGTTTTTAAAGAGCACGTTCTTAGAAAAGCCATTTCATAATAGGTAATACGGAGTGAAATAGGCAATAATAAAAATAAACTTTCTTTTCCTTTATTGATTCATGAATTGCTGTTACTGTAGGATATGCTCTCATTTGGGCTTGGCTGCCCTGATGCAGCTAATACAGCCATAGATCCAGAAGGAGAGGCTCACAAAGGGGATGGGGCAAGAGAGACAAACTGCTTCCCTGCATCTTTGAAGATAGCTCATTTCAGGTAGTCCTCGACTTACGACCACCATTGAGCCCAAGATGCCTGTTGCTAAAGGAGACATTTTGTGAAGTGCATTTTGCCCCATTTTACGATTTTTCTTGCCCCATTTGTTAAGTGAATCGTTGCATTTGTTAAGTTAGTAACATGGTTCTTCAGTGAATCTGGCTTCCCCGTGGACTTAGCCGGTCAGAAGATTGCAAAAGGTGATTCCCATGCCCCCAGGACACTGCAACCGTCATAAATCTGAGTCAATTGCCAAGCATCCAAATATGAGGATGCTGCAACAGTCATAAGTATGAAAAAGGGTCACAAGTCACCTTTTTAAGTGCCGTTGCTACTTCAAACGGTCACTAAATGAGTTGTAAGCTGAGGCCTACCTGCAATGGGTTTCCACAGCAGTAGTAATTAATGGAAAATAAAGCATAGTCTGTTGCAGACCAAAGAAATATTTATACAAGTGGGTGGGGCTAGTTTTTAGGGGGTGCCCCAAATACCCCTCTAGTCATCAAACTTCATTCATGGTGGATTGCACTTTAAAAGGATGTGAAAAAAATGTCATTTTCATGAATTAGCCTATCAAAAAACGTGGCTAAGGCAACCAAGAAAAATGTCCCCATCTTAATTTCAGAATCATCTAATCCTAAGGATTAAAATGGACCAATGTACTTACATATGATAAACATTTTAAGTAGAGTGATATGGGGATTTGGAAAGATCAGAAGGGCGTATCTCCTACTTGTAATGCAGGCTTTAACCTTTTTCTTGGCCTTGAGTTGTAATCTAATAGCAACAAAAAAATGTAGGTACCTTATAGCTCTTCTTAGTCTAAAACGGGTGTCAAACTCAAGGCCTGTGGGCCAGATCCAGCCCATGGGGTGCTTAGATCTGGCCTGTGGGGCTGCCCTGGAAATACAAAGGACCAGCCCGTAGTGCCTTTGCCAGTGAAAATGGAGGTCGGGAGCTCCGTTTTAGCTGGCAGAAGGCTTGCAGGATGATCCCCCAACCCTGCCAGGGCACCACAGGTCCCCCCGACAGGAGTGACATCAAGCTGACCATGCCCACCCTGACCATGCCTATCTGGGGGCCCCCAAGGTCAAACAACCTTGATGTGGCCCTTGGTCTAAAACATAAAATAAGTATCAGACAAAGATGAGTTTGGAAGTAGATGCACTTTTATTTATGTAGGCAGAGCCACCAAAGAAGCCGAGTTAGACACACAGTACTTTTGATTACAAATACGCATTTCATGTTAACAATGGAAACCTGTTTTGCTCCCCAAAATAGCACTTCCCTGGAGTAGTGGGTGAGGTGAAAGTTAGTTTATAGCTAGAGACAAAAATCCTCCTCTATTTTTTTCACCATCACCCTGGTTTCTGTTTCCATCAATCTCTCTCCTATTAAAAGAAAAATTGCTTTACTTGTGGAGATGCTACCAAGAAAAGGAGAAATAGCTGTTAGTCTTCTTGAATTGAATTTCGCTTCTTTGGAAATTAGATTGAAGATGTCAGCTGACCACTTCTGAAATAATACTCTGAGAGCCTTTAAGAAGATATTAAGTCAGTTTTGGGTGGGTGAGGGGAATGGCAGTAGCTGAGCAGATTAGATGGAAAGATCTCTGCGAAGCACCAGGGATTAAGAAGCTGGGATTTGTTATTGATTTCATGCTTTGCTCCCTAGTATTTAAACTATGATAGATCTAGAAAGTGATCCAAATTGACTGACAGGTGCTTTATCTAGTGTAATTATAAGAAACAGTGTACACAATAGAAAGGGGATCTAGCTTTGAAACAACTGTTTTGGATTATATAGCATGGTGGCCTGTGGGGGAGACAAAAGGCAGAAATAATGCTGCACGTGCAGTTTTAAGGGGCATAATTCCAACAAGGATTACAAGGATAATTACATCTGCGATTTGGTGGGGGGGGGGGGGGGGGCTTTTGTTCCACTGTTAAAGGCACCGGGGATGCTTGCCAGGAAAAACAGAGATGCCAACCATTAGGCATATTACTCATGCTTCAAAGTGTTTACAAAAACTGGCCACTGGGAGAAAAAGAAAATGTGCAAACTTTATGGGTTTGGAGGGAAGACAGAAATAAACCCACCCGTACAAACCCAAGTGGAGAAGATGAGGCTCACGGTTTAAATGGACACGTTCCCACTCTTCTAAGAGGACCGGGAACGACCCGCCTAGTTGGTGGAAGTTGGGAATGTAATTTTTGGAGGCTGATTTTAAAGCCAGCCTTCGATCCAGCAATCTTAACAGCATCCATAATTGGGGAAGGGAATCCTCACATTTCAATTTAACCAATCAGCTGTTGTTGGAGAAGCCAGGAGAGAGAGAAAAAAAGAGCCTTGTCAGCAAGATTGGTGCAAATTGATGAGTGGAAGCTAGTGGATTGAGATGTGAGTTTACTAGAGGGTGAAAGTTGCTCTACCTTTATAGAGCAAATATTCCTAGTTTATTCTGCAAAATAGCAAGTAGCACACTCGGGCAAACTGCTAAATAAACAACCCAAGATATCGGATGGGTTGCAATCTTAGCCAAACCCAGTTTTAACAGCCAAATAACATTCCAACCTATATAAGGAGAGAAGAACATAAATCAAGTAAAATCATACCGGAATAATGGTTATAGCTAAAATTGTCACGTGGGAGAAATGGATTGGTTAGATCAGGGGAGTCAAACTTGTTGTCATCACAGCGTCCTCACGTGATGTGTTGGGGCTTCCCCACCCCCCTTTGCTAAATTGGGTGTGGGTGTGGCCAGCACATGACGCATCCAGCCCACAGGCCACAAGTTTGACAGCCCTGGGCTAGATTACGTTAATGAAACTTTACAGTGAAACCAGCTTGCAGTAGTGGTTAAGTCATCATGCTGGAAACCTGGAGACCGTGAGTTTCTAGTCCTATCTGAGGTACAAAGGCAGCTAGGTGACCTTGGGCCAGCCACTCTCTCTAAGACGGAGAAAGTGGGTAAGGCACTTCTGGAAACAAAAAACTTGCCAGGTAACCGGTGGGACTTGTCCAGGCAGCCTCTAAGAATCAGGATTGAATGGCATGAAGAGAAAAAAAAAAGACTTGCAATAAAGTAGAATTAGTCCATCTAATTGTGTTTCCTCCCTGGTAAAGCTGACATCAGTTTGTGAACCTGAAAATACAATTCTCCACTGTCTCCTTTAACTTCCTGAGAAATTAGGGGTGATTCCTTCGGAACCTCTTGCACCACCCACTATCCAGCTGCAGGCTATGCTGTCTCTTATCTGACTGGTTTCTAAGGCAGCGTCTCTGGGCCCAGTCTCCCAAGGTGTTCCCTTTATAACCATTACAATTGGACAGCAGCATTGGTTCTTTGTCTTAAGCAGCAATTTTGTTGTTGTTGTTGGTCCCTAGGTTTAAAGCTAGGTTTTTTTAGAGGGACAAACTTTTTATCAGATTAAACCTGCTTCCAAAGCAGTTCTGTTGTGCAGCCCCAGCACATGTGTGAGTCTAGTCCATCAGAGGATAGTGCTGAGCGTATTGTCTTCATCCACCTCCTTCTCCTCGGGTTGCAATGAGCTGCTGGGAACCGGTAGGGATTTGAGGTATTCCAAGTGACGCCGGGATTCGGCTTGGTTGCGCCGGATATAATAGATGACGTAAGTGATGACAACACCAAACCAGACAAACATAGTGAGCAGCATTGCAAAATCAGTGTTCTTCTGGTGAGTGACACAGAAGTCGACTCCAGTACTGACCAGATGGGACAAAGTCTTCCCAATGTACTCCTTCCAAGTTGCTGTGGTGCACACAATGTCTTCCGCCTTCATGGCTCCTAAGGAAAGAGCCTTCATCAGCTCCTGCAGGGAGCAGTCACAATGCCAAGGGTTGTCGTAGAGTTCTAGCTTAACCCAGGTCAGCATGACAAAAGGAGCAGCGTCTATTTTTTGCAGTTTGTTCCCAGAAAGGTCGAGGAGCCTCAGGGCATTCCCTAAGCCGTGGAAGGCTGCTGGAGAAATGCTCTCGATGAGATTGTCCGCCAAGTGAAGTTCGTGGAGGAGTTTCAGGCCGTGGAAGGCCCCGCTGGATATGTGGACGATCCAGTTAGAGTCTAGGTACAGGACGCGAGTGTCATGAGGAATGTCGAAAGGGATGACCATCAGATTTCTCCAACTGCACCACACCACACCGTTTCCTGGTGGGCAGTCACACCTCCGAGGGCAGGACTGATGGCCATGCAAGCTGTGGATCAGGAACAAGAAGATGGACCACACCGACATTATTTCTGCTGAGTTCTTCACAAGCAGCAGCGAGAGCCTGGTTCGCAGGCCCAGAGCTCTCACTGAAAAGCAAAGGGATGGGAAGAAGGTAAATGAATAAAGGTCCTTCCAATACACTGAATGGGCTTATTTTGACAGGAGCTGTGACCATATGACCTTAAGCCATAAAGCTTTATTAATACATGGGCATGTGCTATTTTTTTTTTTTGTCTAATATGAGTTATACAGGTAGTCCTTGACTCACAGAAGTTCATTTAGTGACCGTTCAAAGTTACAACGGCATTGAAAAACGTGACTTATGACCATTTTTCACAGTTACGCCCTTTGCAGCATCCTCATGATCATGTGATTGAAATTCAGAAACTTGGCAGCTAGTTCATATTTATGACCGTTGCTGGGTCCCAAGCTCATGTGCTCCGCTTTTGTGACCTTCTGACAAGCAAAGTCAATGGGGAAGCCAGGTTCCTTTAACGACCAGATTACTAATTTAACAACTGCAGTGATTCACTGAAACAACTGTGGCAAGAAAGGTCATAAGATGGGGCAAAACTCATTTAAACAAATGTCTCACTTAACAACATAAATTTTGGGCTCAATTGTGGTCATAATTTGAGGACTACCTTTATTTAACCTAGCATTTCCTCTCCATGAGCAGTGGCTCCTGTTTTGGCCTGATGCAAATTGTTACAGCTTATACATTTATTTTCCTTAAACCAAACATAGCCAATGTTTTAGAAATGGAAGATAAGAAAGCCCTAAATCTGATGTGAGGGCAGGAAAATGGTCATAGATATATACTAGGTTGACTCAGCCTTCCCTCCTTCCAAGGTGGATAAAATGAGGACCCAGACTGTTGGGAGCAATAGGCTGACTCTGTAAACAGCTTAGAGAGGGCTGTCAAGCACTGTGAAGCGGTATGTAAGTCTAAGTGCTATTGCTAGATATATACTAATCAATTAAGCTTTTGGTTGCAAGCAAGTTTTCCATGTTGGATATTTTTCATTCTTTTTTCAACAAAATGTAGGTCTGATTTTTAGTGGCAGATCTTGCCGAGTCCTATAGATATCTACCCCAAAGTAAGCCTGATTTAATTCCAAAGTGTTCATTTCGTAAATGAATGCGATTGTCAACATAAATATTTACTTGCTTTTGAGATCTCATATGCCTCCAGCTATTTCTCTCCTCAAATTCAGCAATGGAAAGGAAAAAAGATGTACAGTATACTTGGCATTGGAAATATGGGTTCTAGATATAGAATCATAATTGAACCTGAACTACCAGTGAAACTTATAACTCAGTGATTAGGGGAGAGGAAATCAGATGAAGATATAAAAGGCAGGACTTATTAAAAAAAAGCTACGGTAATAATGGTAGAAATCAAAATATCAGATTAACAATAAATATAGGTCAAGAACTATTAAAAATGAAAGACACTGATAAAGAAGCAGGTTAATTGTCCTGGTCAATTTGTTTCGGATGTTATTTTCTTTCAGATTACAAAAAGATGCTCATAAATTTACAGTACAATACTAATATCTTCTGATTTTTATTTCCTAACCATGCTTATATACTTGCCAAATTTAAGTATCTGTTCTTGTGCCTTTAATAGCAGTAACATATCACTGTGCCTGCCAGGAAATACTCCGCTTTTGAGCTGCTACACTCAAATCACCGTCACAGAACCAAAGTTCATAAGCCCCTTGTCTTCCTTTTCCTTATTTAGAACAATATATATTTTTAAATAGTTTGCTCCAGAATCAGTGCATCTGTATTGTCAGATTTAAATTATTCAACCAACATTTTTCTCTGCCTTTGCTGGGAACAGATAACACTGAAGCTTTTTTTATCTGCATGTGATTATATGATCAATCCACACCCAACACATTTTTGGTTAGCCAAAATTGATCAGATAACGCCACGACCATTGCTCAGCCATTTTTGTCTTTCAGCTCTTTTACCGAAATACATGAAGGCTGAAGCAGCACAGTAATTGGAAGACAGTCAATTGAAGAGATTTTTTTAAAAAAGATTTCCATAACATTTCTTAAATAAGGCAGAACCAAACAAAACTTTTCTTAAGAGATGTCATCTAGATGTCAGGTATATCATTTTTGGCTAACTCCTATTTGGTGGGAAAACTTAATGAGGGAGGTTTCCCTCCCCCTCCCAAATCAACAGTATGTGTTGTGCTTTTATGCTATGTTTGTCTCTCATTGAGTTCACCCAATTTTAACACTGTTAGATGTGCACTAATAGTGGACAAGAAGTCTAGGAATATAGTATATGCATGTGCAATTGTGGTCATTTATGACCAGCAATAGGAAGATGCTAGCTAAACTACCTAATCCAGGACTGTACAGTATTACAATTGTCAAAAATTCATCTGGCCTCCATGTTTCTAACAAGGGTGTGTAAACATTAGGGTGGGGCTTTGCGTATTGCTTTATTTATTTAGCTGTGGACTGGATCCCGTTACACTGCCCACTGTAACATAACTCCCAACTTTTACCTCCTGTAAATTTTAATTCTGATGAATCGTGAAGCAAAAACGGCAGTGGCTAATCCAGGTCTTGATGTGATGCAGAAAAGATCATCTGCTGCTTGTCTGCATCAAGACCGGATTAAAGACTCTTGGGTGAAGCAGCCCAAATTAATAGTTGATACGTCTATCACCTAAACCACCATGCCACACTTACCTGCGTGAACAAGGTGCTTAAATCAGTCTTTCTGTCCCACAACTAATGGAGCCTGAAGACAAGGGAGTCTCCCAGCCTTACCTGCAGCTTCTGCTTGGCTTCAAGAGATGCAGGAACCACAAACCCCACAGGTCAACTTCTCTCAGAATGTCCTTTCTCTGACTACTGTAGTTCCCTGCCTGCTGTCCATCAGCTAAAGAGCTTGAGACACATGACTTTGTGAGTAGGAGGAGGAGGGAGAGTGCCCCTACCAGACTGCAGGAGGTGTGGCAGGGAGATTGTTTGTGTTTGTAATACACGAACGCAAAAGCTGATGAAGCAGTGGCATCTTCCCATCTCATCCCAGGGTTGGACACCCTAACTGTTAGGACTTTTTAACAATGATTGGCAGCCCACTTTACATTTTGTAGGAAGAACCAGCATTTTCTGCTGTTTTGGGGGTAGATTTTTTTGGTGGGGGTAGGCTTCCTTTCCTGATTAAATTAGGTTCAACCTGTTTTACAGAGAGCCAGTTTGTTGTAACGGTTAAGGCACAAGACTGAAAACCAGGAGAGAGAATTCTGGTCCTGCGTTAGCTAGGAAAAAATTATGAAAAACCCCTCCCAAGGAAACTGCAGGGTCTTGTCCAGGCAGATGCCAGTCCACGTTGACTCAAAGGCACCAAAATAAAAAAAAAAAATTCGTTTTGATGTTTAGAAACTATTTTTCGGTGTGCACCCCAGCTTGTTAAGGTAGGAGAATATGCCAACCATTAATTAGGTTGGTCTGATGGATGAGGCCCTTTTAGAAGGATTGTCAGCAGAAATGTCCATTTCCATCCAGGAAAGATGAGATCTTTTTTTAATGGGACTCAAATGTGAACATCTTCCATAGTGTTAGCACTTACTGCTTGTAGCATGAACATTTTAAAGTACAGTACTTTTACATTTGTTTTTTGAAAGTGGCTTTCAAAAATTAAAAAGATAATGGCTGCTTATGTTGGTTGTTTGAATTCTTTTTTGTTACTTGAAATCCATTTCAAGTTTAGAATATCGCTAAATAAGTGGCCATGAACAAGCGCAACATGTTACTGAGATCACCTGTGAAAGAGTAGTAAATTGAGTTCCTTCCTCCCACTCCAGTAACTACCTCGGTTTTAAGAAATTCCGATGTAGCAAATCTGCCTTTTAGATAGATAGATAGATAGATAGATAGATAGATAGATAGATAGATAGAGATAGATAGATAGATAGATAGATAGATAGATAGATAGACAGACAGACAGACAGACAGACAGACAGACTGACTTCTTTATTGGCCAAGTGTGATTGGACACACAAGGATTTTGTTTTGGTGCAAATGTTCTCAGTATACATAAAAGAAAAGATATGTTCTTCAAGAGTCAAGAATCATCAGGTACCGCACTTAATAATAGTCATAGGGTTCAATAAGAAATCGAATCATACTAGGAAACAGTCAATATAAATCGTAAGGATACAAGTGACAAAACTACAGTCATACAGTCACAAGTGGGATGGGTGATAGGAATGATGAGAAGATTAATAGTAATAGTAGTGCAGGCTTTGTAAATAGTTGGGACAGTATTGAGCGAAGAATTTGTTTAGCAGAGTGATGGCGTTCAGGAAAAAACTGTCCTTGTGTCTAGTTCTGGTGTGCAGTGCTCTATAGCATCATTTTAAGGGAAGGAGTTGAAACAGTTTATGTCCGGGATGTGAGGGGTCTGCAAATATTTTCACAGCCCTCTTTTTGACTTGTGCAATATACAGGTCCTCAATTGAAGGCAGGTGGGTAGTAATTGTTTTTTCTGCAGTCCTAATTATCCTCTGAAGTCTGTGTCTGTCCTGTTGGGTTGTAGAACCAAACCAGACAGTTATAGAGGTGCACATGATAGACTCAGTAATCCCTCTGTAGAATTGGATCAGCAGCTCCTTGGGCAGTTTGAGCTTTCTGAGTTGGGGCAGAAAGAACATTCTTTGTTGTGCTTTTCTGATGATGTCTCTGATGTTAGGTGTCCATTTTAGGACATGTGATATAGTAGAACCTAGAAATTTGAAATTTGGCCCCCACCTTTCTTCCACTATTACACTCAGTACTGGTTCCCCCCAGGGTTGTGTCTTGAGCCCCCTGCTATATGCCTTGTACACCTTTGACTGCTCACCAAGCCATGCAACAAACACCATCATAAAGTTTGCGGACGACACGACCGTGATTGGTCTCATCTCCGGAGAGGATGAGTCGGCATATAGGGCAGAAGTAGAGAACCTGTCTATCTGGTGTTCACAGAACAATCTGTCATTGAATGTCCATAAAACCAAAGAACTGATTATGGACTTCAGGAGACATGGACAGGACCACGCCCCACTCATCATCAACAGAGAACGAGTAGAAACTGTCCCTATGATCAGATTCCTTGGCTCCATATTTCAGCTGATATCTCCTGGTCCCCTAACACCAAGGCCGTAGAGAAGAAGGCTCAGCAGTGGCTGCACTTCCTGCGGGTTATCAGGAAGAACAATCTGGATAAGAAGCTGTTGCTGGCTTTCTATAAAGCCTCTGTGGAGAGCACTCTGACATACTGTCTGGGTGTGTGGTATGCAAGCTCCACAGCTGAGGACAGGAAAACTGTACAGAGGGTGATCAACACAGCTCAAAAGATTATTGGTTGCCCTCTGCCCTCCCTGGAAGACTTAACTAGGTCCCGCTGCCAAAGCAGAATCAAGGCCATTATAGAAGACCCCTCACACCCTGGCAATTATCTTTTTGACCTGCTGCCGTCTGGATGGCGTTTTAGGTCAATAAAATCCCACACTACTAGACTAACGAAGTTTCTTTTCCTGGGCCATCTGAACCACATATAAACACAAAGTCACTACCTCATTAAGATGTGAAAAGATGTGAAATCTCAATACCCCATTCAGATGTATAATAACATATTACAGTACAAGCCATCTCCATGTATTGTACTTGGCTAAGCGTTACAGTGAGTGTTGGATGTATATTTTGTGTATATTTGTAGATATTGTACTCTCAAATTGCAAATGGAGACGTGGGTACTCTTATCTTTCTTATCTTCATTTTTAAGTGCTTTGGTTTTATTGTATTGTGAACAGTTGCTGGGGTTTAATTTAACTGGAGAACATGATTGATGACTCTTGACTATGGATGTGCCTCATTGGAGAATATAAATTATGATACACCCAGCGGGTGGGGGAAAACCAGGGTCAAGGTTGACAGTAAATTATGTGTCTGAGAGTTTGGCTCGAGACTCATGATTTAATTGGGGTAACTACTGGAATCCTGACACCATGTCCCTCCCAAATTTGGATTTTGAATCCCAGCCTTTGCTCACCTTGGGGACGTGACCTTGAGTGTACTTGTAAAGTCAGTGCAGCCCTCCAGTTAATAGATGGGGAACACCTTCTTCCAAACTCAAAATATGCTTGTCATAGAAAAAGCTGCCCCTGGTCCATATAAATGTGATTAAACTAATTTGCCTCCATTTCTACAAAGGGAAGATGGAATACTGATTGAAATGTTAAGCGATTTTGTTATTAGTATGTAATTGTTCTCATAATTTCAGCATCGTTTCTTGCTGGTGGCCATAATCGTCATGCCTAGAAAAAAAAATAGCTGATCCTTGATACAAATCACCTCTACTAAAATCTAAAATGACTGTGGAAAGCACTAAATGCTACAAAAATGCTATATAATTGATGCAATTTTTCCAATGTATTTCAGGTCAGAAAATATAAACTGTTTGGGGACAAAACCTTATTTTATTCATAAAACATACATGAAGCCCACATGATCCACATTCTTCATATAGCTTTCTCAATGTAATCTGAATAAGCCACATGCCCGACCTCTCTTCACCCTCAATCATGTCAGATGTTTCTTTGGGTGCATTTTCTTTCAAACTCAAAGACTTCTCTACCCACTCAGATCCAACAAAATCTCCCCGAAGCAAGGAAATCCCAAAACAGCAGATTCACCCTTATTTTGACCACAACATCAATGGAGCACTTGGAAGATTTCCTTCTAATGCAACATTTTCTCCCCCAACAATTGCTAAACCGAATTTCCAAAAATGAATGGTTTTGACTGGTTGGTTCGATTTCCTTTTAAAAGGTTACAGCAACCCTACAAAATAAGTCACTTCCCAGGAAAACAAATTTCGTGTCTATACCAAATGGGACGGTTTGACAGATGGCATTGGATTCCCTCAGTTGGGTTCAGCTTGTTGAGCCAATGTCTTTCGAGCCATTTCCAGCGCACCTTCCTTAGTCCTGTTTCCTCCAATGAAGCCACTGGAATGTACAAAGATACAATCTGGGATCCCGCTGAGCTGGGAGAGATCTTCTTCACGCAAACCCCTCCATTCCTCCAGCAATGGCAATCTATGGGGAGGATGGGGAAGGGGGAAAGAAGCAAAACCAGAAGGTAAGCAAGGAGACACAACCTTGCTGTGGAATTCACGTATAACTTTGAGAAAAGAGGAGAGGAGCTCCTGCCTAGAAAACCATCAGATGTAAGAGGCTGGAGCCCACAATTGTTTACCAGCCAAAGAAAGTAACTAAGGAAGGACCTGGAGAGTGGGAAATTAGCACTTTCAGACCTGCAAGATTAATGTAGCCTTACAATAAAGCAGGTGTAGCTCCATCTAGTCATGTTTCCTCTCCGGTTTACTGACAAACCCTGAGGGACGGTCTACAATGGGCTCCTTCGAATTTTCTGGAATTCACTGTCCAGAGAATCCAGCCTGCCTAACAGAAAGCAAAGGACTGCTGGGCACCCAAAGATCTTGAGGAAAAGGCTACAGAGAACATTGGATGAGGCCTCTGCTAAGACACAATACCGACGTCAAGAAAACTTTATCCTGGAAACACTTAAAATATGTTTATTTCATTCTATTTCCAGAACAAGCCATTGTTATTCCTATTTTGGGGTGTGTGCATACCTTCAACTTGGTTTTAACCGATTTTACTCTTAATTTTGAATAACTGGATTTAATTTAGTTTAAGCAGTAACCTAAGATCTGGAGCTTCCCAAGAGTGTGGAATTACGTTTTCTACTTACTACTACTGTGCTCGCTCTCTTTCTCTTTCTCTCTCTCTCCCCCTCTCCCTCTCTCTCCTCCCCTCTCTCAAAGGAAGGTGCTGAACCTAAGAGGGTAGCCATCATCTACTCATGGGAAAAACAGACAAAAAATGGATCCGTACCATTTGCTAATGAATCTGAGGCAACTTTTCCATGGTATTGGGGGAAAAAAATTAATCTTTCTTTCAGGGTAAGTCAAAAAGGTGTCAAGAAGCCAAGCTCACCGGTTCTGAAAGGTTCTGAGCCCTACAGGAACACATTGTACCCGCCACTGGCCACTCAAATCTGTGTATAGGACGAATTTCAGTGGCTTCTTCACATCCATCATTTGTTCCAGCTGTAGAAGATGCTCTTTCCATGGACAGCCTCCTTGTGCCAGGACCAGAATTTCACCACTAGGATCCACCTGTCATAGAAAGAGATGCACACCATTCAGAAGTACTGGTTTTAACGGCCCAATGGCTGAGGTGTACAAAGCGCTAGAGGCACTTATTGCAACATTACTGCTAATCATAAGGTGGTCTATTGTAGATTCTAGTCCAAAAATGAATTTAGCATAATCAGACTGACAGAAGTTTCAGTTCATTTCCTCTAAGATTCTAGTCCTCATTATGACATACAGGGAATCGCGGAGAAGCATACTGAGTTCTAATGGTTCTAGAACTGGACTGCAAAGAAGGAGCAAGTGGCTGTCATTCAACTCTGAATGACAGCCACTTGCTGCTTCTTTGCCTCTTTATCATCTTTTATCCTTCCAACTGTGAGGATACAGCAACCCTGGACCATCACCAGAAAGCTTTTCCTTTTCCACTTTTGGAAAAATGAACGCTTAGCCAAAAAAAAGGGGTATCTGACAAGCATGTTTGTAAAGTTGTCTCCGTCTTAGGAACTTGCGAACACGAGGGGGTACCTCAAAACGCTGTCGGATGGCATCCTCCACAAGGCTGCGTGCAGGGTGCCAACTGCGGTAATAGTAGTCAAGACGGTCTAAGAATTCGTGGCCCACCAGCGTCATGGCCTTCTGGAACCCAGCCTGGAAAAGAAGGATGGATTTGGCAATTACGTTCTTAATCCAAGGGCATTTTTTTTTTTTAATTTGGAGCCATGCAATCTGTACTATGTGATTATAGGAGGGGACACCGCTAGCCACACTCTCTCTCTGCATTTCTCAGACAAACCATCCTCTGGCTGTCTCTTTCCTCTTACCAGCAGAGACCTCTGTGAGCTGCTTACACAAAGAGGTACCAAGTCAGAATTCCCCAAATACAGGTAGTCCTCAACTTATGACCACAACTGAGCCCAACATTTCTGTTGCTAAGTGAGTCGTTTCTTATTGTCCCACTTTTACGACATTTCTTGCCACAGCTGTTAAGTGAATCCCTGCAGTTGTCAAGTTAGTAACGTGGCTGCTAAGTGAATCTGGCTTCCCTCGCTGACGTTGTGTCGACGCCGAAATTGACATATAGGTAGCCATTTTATTTATTGCTTTTTAAATGGGTTTCATCCCTTGGAAACCTGACATTTTGCTTGTCAGAAGGGGATCACGGGACCCCCGGGGACACAGCAACGGTCATAAATATGAGTCATTAGCTGAGCATCTGAATTTTGATCACGTGGCCAAGGGGATGCTGCGACGGTTGTTAAGTGTGAAAAATGGTCATTAAGTCACTTTTTTCGGTAACTTTGAAAGGTCACTAAACAAACTGTTGCAAGTCGAGGAACATCTGTAGCTGGGCTCTCTAGAAAAAAGATCATTGCCCCCTAGTTGGTTATGGGTCGGCAAAAACAGCCATGCAACCCCCCATCTGTGGAAGCTCCAGAAGAACTGGCCCCAGGGTCTTCTTCACTGGGACCAGAGGTGGGTATTCAGCTGGTTCTGACCAGTTCTGGAGAGCCGGTAGCAGAAATTTTGAGTAGTTCGGAGAACCGCAAATACCACCTGTGACTGGAGATTTTACAGTCTCCTTCCCCTGCCACACCCACCAAGCCACGCCCACAGAACCTGTAGTAAAAAAAATTGAATCCTACTACTGACTGGGACCCTCTGTGGGTAGACCACTGCCCCATAAATAAATGAAAAAAAGATTTTGGGGGGTGGAGATGGGGGTCAAAAGACAGCAATATAAGCAGCAGGTTCTCTCTCTCTTCTTTCTTAACATGCTTTCATCGCGTGAGTCTACACTAGCCACAGACCAGGAGGAGGCTGGTGACACTCTTTCAGCCTAACAAATTTTATTAAAAGTCATACTTTGGAGGAAACCAGCCATCGTTCATGAGAGTTTAGCCTTTTTAATATAATCTATGTTAGGATTCTGGTGGTTGCCCCCAATTAAATCATGAGTCTTGAGCCAAACTTCCAAAACTTCAAAAGGATTTATTGCGAGTTAACATGTCCGGCACTGCCTGGGTGCAGCTGACTCTGAGACACATAATTCATTGTCACCCTTGCCCCTGGTTTTCCCCCACCCCCCCGGGTGTGTCGTAATTCATATTCTCCAATGGGACACATCCATAGCCAAGAGTCATCAATCATGCTCTCCAGTTAAATATTTACGTGGCAGAAACTTCAGTCACCTAGTTACTATCCTTGAAAAACTATTTATGGAATGCGTTTTCAATTTCCAAGCTGCCGCACTGTTCTTGCAAACCCCTTTCACCCCTCCCTTTCAGTTGGCAACTCTAAAAAGACCACAGAAATATTTTATGAGTTGACAATCTGCTAGTCTGAAAAAATGCTATCAGACTCCTCCTGGTGTTTTCAGTGCTGCTATGTTTTTGCTTTAGATCCACCACAAATTTCCTTCGTATCTGATTTTATTCTTATCCGAGCTGGCTCAAGGTTTGCCAAGCAAATCTCGGTCTTCTGAATCCTACCTCAGTGTCTTGGTCCTTGTCGTTCCAGCGAGGATTCAGGTACCCCACCCTGGAGCTCACATTGGTGCTCATGGTGTAGCGTGGCTCTTCATCCCACTGGGAGATGCCATTGTCGATTGCATCTATCTCCTCTACAAAGTTCTCATACAACTAAAAAGGGAGGAGGATGGGAGTGAGAATAGGGTCAGTTCAGTGAGGAATAATGTTTGGTATGTTTGGTAAAAGAGACCATCAATAGCACTCTTTACATTCTCCCTGTAAATTACACATACTGAATCCACTAACGAAGTTGTGGATTAAGTAAGTAAAACTCGATGTTTTTACAGGGCCTTCAGATCCTGCTGAACTACAATTCCCATAATACCTTCCCACTAGATATGCTGCCTTGGGCATTACAGGAACTATAGTCTGACACATCTAGAAGTTACTAAGTTGGAGAAACCTGCTTCGGCTGAGGAAAAGGTCTCCGTTATTTCTCATACTCATGCCAGACATTTTCTTTCACGTATCCCGATCCTAAATGTGGGCCTAGATACCTTGTCATAAAGCAGGTGCACAACAGGATCTTCCTCCTTTAGGCCCAACTTGTTGGCTAAAATCTGGGAGCCAAAGTGTACATATACCAGCCCTGCACTGCTCAGCTTGGTCTGCCACGGTTTATCAGGTTTTAGGCTGTGCATTGACTCGTTAAATGACCTGTGGGAACAAGGGGGGAGGAGGGGGGGTCAGAAGAGACTGGGATCGCAGCAAGAGAGACAAAATCATGCCACCTTGAGAAAGAGCTCGGCTTTCCAAATTTCTCTTCTTCATAGACTGGTAGAACAGACTTTTAAAATATATATTTCAAAACTCTACCTTCAACAAGGAAACCTTGCCCAGAATGTTTCTTAATGCTTTTCCTCCTTTCCCTTCTCTGTCATTTTTAGATTGTAAGGCCAAAAGCAAAGACTATATTAAAAGTATTACACCCGAGTCAAAGGATGCTTTGAAAAAGCACTTTAAATTGTTATTTAAAATGCTAAAAATAAAGATGAATAATGGAAATGCATCTGGAACAAGTTCTTTACCTCAGTAAGACGTAGGGCAGGGAGTGAAAGAAAAAAAGAGGTTGCACATAATTTCTCACTTGTTCAACAAAAAAAAATAGTTTTCCTAAGGAGACTCCTTAATGGCCACAGCTGGCTAGCAATGGTAGCATTCTAATCTGAGGTATCTGGAAGTTATTAAATCTGGGCTGGTTATCTTTCAAACTTCTCTTGCCTTCCTCACCTGCTGGATGGTGAGATTTACTGACCAGGTTAAGATGGCGGAATAGAGAGGAAAACTTTAAGGAATTCCTTAGTACCTCTGGTGATGGTCATAGCGATGCTTCTGCGGATCATATTCACCCCCAACGTCCACCACCACATCACATGAGGACAGCAGCTGGGGATCCCGAGTCCGGATAATCTCTGCATCCTAAAGCCACAGCGAGCAATGTGACAGCAACACAAGCAGTGAAACAAAATGCACAACTACTAATCTTGTAGCTTCTGACCCTATTCCGTTCTAGCTTCTGCAACAAGTGAGAGGATAGCTCTTTTTATTTAACTTCAGATTTCTTTTAGTCAGTTTGCTTCACCTGGGTAGTACGTATCTACAGGATAAAGAATTCTCCTCAATTGTGAGAGGTTGCAGATTCAAGTGCTGACAAAAAATTATTATAAATTAAGATATATTTTTCCGTTTTATGCTTCAAAAATTCCAGAAGGAGCAAGCTGGGATTAAAGTGTTTTATTAAAAAGAATTTTGGGTTATGATCCTTGTTAAACTGAGGAGACATAAAAGTTTCCTGAACACGCAGAACCCATTATTAGATGAGATCGCCCAAAAGAAAAAACCCCAGTAACACTTTATCCCAGATTATCTTTTATTGTGGGCATGAAAGATACTGAAATATTATGTACGTGTTGGGGCACGTGTTATACTCAGTCAGATTCTAACATAAAAATTGATGTGAAAGAAAGCAGCAGTAAAAACTTGCCTTTTTAAAAATCATACCAGCTTCTGTTTCTTAAAATGTGGATATTTAATGAAATCTCAGAAATCTGGGGCAACTGGATCATAGTTATAACTGCAGATGCAGGATTAAGAGTAGAATAAGAATGGCAGTGATTTATAATGTAGCAAGACTGCAACCATTTGCAGCTTCTTAAAAGTAATTGTTTTCTGTTTGTAAATCTGAAGTTGCAGGAGGATTCCACTCATACCAGGATCTGGGTGGAGGAGGCAGAGTAACTTTAACACAGGGGTTGTCTAATCTTGGCGATTTGTGGACTTTTAACTCTCAGAATTCCCCATCCAGCCGTGCTGAAGTTGAAGTTCACAAGATCTGACTACTTTTACACCCGCAGCCATGTAATTACTGAAAATAACCGGAAAGATGCTATGTGTGTATGTGATGCCTCTCCAAAAGACAAGAAAGCCAGCAAGTTGTGCTTGCCTGATGGGATCTGAAGAAGCACAATCTCTGCACACCCCAAAGGAAAAGAAAGACTTAATTTAATCCCACATTATGTCAGAAGGAGACAGCACATGCCCTCCGTATGTTTGGACTACAATGCCCACAATGCCTTATTGGCCGGCTGATCACAGACCGGAATCTCAACATATATGCAAAAGATCGGTTATCCTCAAGCTCTAAAGGCCGACTGGGCACCATAGGAACTGTAGTCCAACACATCGGACGCAGGAAAAAAAAAAGCTGTTCTGGAGAGATTGCACTGGCTTGCTGGGGTTGCTTTGTTCCTCGGCAGCGGGACTGCCTACCTGGTAAGAGGGAAGCAGCTTCAAGAGGAAGCACGCGAGAGCCTCGTCGCAATGAAAGGTGCCCCCGTGGGTGCCGATGCGGCTCGGGCGCGCGCGCTTGGGGCCCGGCATGAAGCTCCGAGTCACACGAGGAGCCCAAGCGAAGAGACGGAGCATGCGCATAGCCGCGGTTGTTTGCAACCAGCCCCCCCCCCCCGCCCTTTCTCCCCACCAACCCCGGAGCCTGATTTCCGCCGCCAGGGTGTGTGACGGCGGTGCTTTTACCGTATTCCTGCTAGTTGGGGCGCGTGGATTTCTTCTCCCCAAACATTTTCCTCGCGAGACAATATCCTTTCACGGGGAAAGAAGAAGAAATCCTGCAGAGGTTCCGTATCAAAAGTTGTGCAATCCGGGCACGTGTTCGACAATCTCTTCCAAAGAAGGCAAAGGAAAATCAGACTATTTTTAAGGACCCGGTTTTGCGATTGCGCGGGTACGCACTTGCGAGGGAACAGGGCGGTAAAATTTCGTTCCCTTGTGTTAAAAACCGCGGAATAAAAGTACGGTAACGTGTTCCTTTTTCTAAAAAAAAGCCTATTTTTTAAGAGAAAAGTCTGTACATTACTGGAGATAGACTTCCACTCCAGCCTAATTTAGTTCACAGGGATGTTTTCAGGGAATACTCTCCTGGTTGCCCTGAGCAACTGAATAACAAAAATTAAAAAATGTTTTTAAAAAGTCATCGAAGCCAGTGAAAATATTCAAAAAGTGAATTGAGACTTTAAAGCCCCCACTTCTGCTCCCATCCCAAGCCATTTACTTTTAAGGAACAGAGTGCAATTAAGCATTACAGTCAAGGTTAACCTTATTGATAGGGTTAACATTAATGCATGAGAATATATTTAATAAAGGTGGAGTATAAACTGCAATTTGGCAATTCAAATCCCACCAGGTTCAAGATTGACTCAGCCTTCCATCCTTCCGAGGTGGATAAAATGAGGACCCAAATTGTTGGGGGCAATATGCTGACTCTAAACAGCTTAGAGAGGGGTGTAAAGCACTGTGAAGCTGTAAATTAAATGCTATTGATATTGCTATAAATAAGATCATATTTCCTCTGCATATTTTCCCTATGCGTGATGTTCCCCAACACACTGGCTATCTGGCATTTCTGTTTTTACCACTTTTGCTAAATGCTTTCACTTGTTACCACTTGTAGCCAAGGTTATGAATTCCACTTGCTGGACTGCTTTAGGCTGAATTTCTAATATTCCTTATAGGAAAGTATGTGCACTCCAAGCTAAAAGGGTCAGAGAGAGTACTGGCCAGCATTCAAGCAGGAGGAGAGGAGGTGCGTGTGAAGGAGTTGGGCATTTTCAAGCCTTTGACTGTCGTCAATTCACTACCTGTAAGGCATTGTATATTCTGTAGAAAGCCAAGACTGCAAGGAGTCCTTGTAAAACCTGAAAGATTAATTTAAACTGCCTCTGGCAAAAGAGGAAGTAAATGCAGCATCATGTGGAAATATTCTTTAAAAAATGATTAGTGGAGCATCTTCATGCTATGGACAGCAGGATGTGAAGATAAAGCCATTGATGCTTCACCCAGATCTCTAAATTACTTCCTCCAGTAGTTTCATGAAGGGAGTGAAGTGGCAGTAAGAGGCATGCAGTCTCATCATCTAGTTCTGGAGAGCTTGACCCATTAACTTCAAGGTGCCATCTTATTCCTCATGCTAGTTAACATTTAGAAACAGTTTATGCCACACCATTAAACTTTTAAAGCAACTGCATCACTAACGATTCACATATGTATTTTAGGAAGTTTTTAGGGTCCCAAATGATATAATTTTCAATCCTCTAATCGAGGGGTGTCAAACTTACATCGTGGAGGCGGTGTCTCATGACGTATTGGGACTTTTTTTCCCTTCACTAAACCAGGCATGGACATGGCCAGTGTGTGATGTATCCGGGCTGTGAGTTTGACAGCCCTGATCTAATTGTTAAGATTTTCCTCATTGAAAGAGAGGCTCATATCAGTCTTACATAGAAATAAATCCCAGGGGACTTAAATGATTCATTTCTGAAGAAACATATCAAATTAATCACTCAAAAGGTTTTCTTCATTTTTTTATTAATAAGATAACCAAGCATCACATTTAAAACTGCAAAACAGTATTTAATCATTCTTTATTATTAAAGCTCTGGAATATTATATTTAAATATTAGATCTTTATTTGTTAGAAAAAAAGCCAAAAGATGTACAGAGGAATAAAAAGATAGCATTCATCTCTAAATTTCCATCATTCATCATCACCACCACCACCATCATCACTATAATTAAAATATATATCTCTTTAAATCATTATATTGAATTTTATAAAGTGCATGACGATTTATTACATAAGGCAACAAAATGGAGATGATTTGTGTTTCTCATCTAGTAAGCTACCTTTCTCTAACTGTACAGGTTTGGCTTTTACATGCAGAAGTGGAAAAAGAGCCCTAAACATCTTTCAGAACAGAGCAGCTTTGATTCAAATGTCACTGTTATTAAAGCCTTTACAACGAATTCACATGAAATAGTTTCAACCTATACTAAATAGCCTGGTTCATTATAGTAACCTGACTGGCTTGTAACAAGCATGATGTTCAAACATTGCTGTATTCCGTTGAGGACACAGAATTTGAGAGGGTGATTAATTCCATCCTTCTCCTAGGCAGAAAAGCTTTAAGTATTATCCTCCTCCTCTTCTTCCTCCCCTCCCCCTTCTCGGCATGGAGATTTTCCTGATATGGGATGAATTCCAACTCATACATCCATGACTGCAACATCTATAAGATCTTGTTATTGTTCTAACCATGAAAAAAAAATGTCTCTTAAGATACAGAAACAAACACCCCCTATAGCGAATTAGCATGCTTATGTTCTAGCAGCTTAAATAGTGGACAAATTAGCAATGTGTATATTGTGCATTCCATACTGAGTACCTGAATTTTTTTCTAAAAGTCTCTCTCAATACTTGATATCACCAACGAGTTCAAATTTGCCCTAACCCCCTTCTGTGATTCTAACTATGTATTTGCTGAGGTGATTTTCACTTTTAAAAGTGTTCTTGACTCAAGCATATGGTGGAAACATAAAATCACCCTATCTTTAAAGTTATTTATTAGCTTAGATGCTGAGATGAAGTACAAATATTGATTAAAAAGCCCATTCAAGTGACCAAAGCTAAGGAGGGTTCACTGAAGCGATGATGCATTTCTGCAATTGAAGGAGCAAGGTTTTAAAATGGAGATGCTATATCTAAAATGATTAGCCTGGATAATGAAAAAATCCGATGTATTTTGGGTTGCGAAGGTTCAAGCTTTAATATGCTCTCCCTGCAAAAGAAGCTAGCTGAAGGAGGGGTACCTACACACATATGCTCACACACATCCAACCACAGGGACTTATTGCATGTGGGTGGGCTGCCTTTGTGCCAACTCTCAGAGAAGTACAGAAGGAAGTTAAGGCTTTGATGAAATCTTCCAATCCCAGTAATTTAGGCTAATTTCAGAGTAAAACAATCTAATCATTCTAGAAAAAGATAAATTGCTTTGCAGCAAACTCAAGGCACTTTCACAAGAATTACAGGTTTAGTCTATTACCCTACTGACACCTAGTGAGCACAAGGCAGATTTCAATCCAAATCTCTGCCTTCTTATATCATCTGTAAAATCTAAACAGCACAATCTTTTTTAAAAAATGCTTGTCTAATCTGTTCCTGTCTGTGAAGAATAGTTATTTTACCTGATAGATTAAAATATATAGCGATGTAGAGTTTGCAAACTGCTGTTATCACCAAGAATTAAAATCAAACAGAACTACACAATGGTGAATGTTCAACGTGTCTTTGAAGTAAGCAATATATTCTACAACCTAAGTTTTAGCAGAACATTAAGCTATAATCATGTTTTCTCTTTCAAACTGACAATTAACTCATTTTTAATGGTGCAGTCTTAATAAATCTCTCACCCAAATGTTTGTAGATTCCTTCATCAAACAGAAATTGGTCCACATATTATTTCATATTATTTGGGACCAATGCAACAAAGCTACCTAAACCACACATATTCTTGGTGAAGTCATTATTGATGACAAGATCTTTTCTTTGTCAACAAATGGCTCATATATACTTAATTTTTCTAGAAATCAAGTAGCCTAGAGGTTGTCAAACTTAGAGTAAACATTTTACCAGTATCAAAAATAAATTAGTCTCAGCCTCCTGAGGATGACTTAAGAACTGACTCAAACATCATAGCCCCAAATTGGAAACAACTGAAAATTGCTTATTCTGTATCAGATAATTAAGCTGCTTTGTATATGATTTAATCTGATCATAGGAATCCTTTCTACAATCCATTAAAAAGTGATACTATACAATTTTTCTGAACAAACCAAGCATTCTTGGATAGACTAAAAGTCAGTATTATACTTCTGGATTATTCCTCATCAACTCTTAGTAATTAGTAGTGTCAGACACTGTTTAAGGCTGAAAGCAGCAAATATAGCCATGGTTATAATAGTGCAGAGATTCTGGAAGAAGCCTGGTTTTTAAGAACGTGCCCGTATTCCCCACCAAGGAGTGTATGATTAAAGCCAAAGTCTTCCAGTTCCTATTATAAATTATTAAGAGCTTTAAAAGTGCTGGCATATTTCTATGCATATGACAAATTCCATTAAAAAAAAAACCAAAACCCAAGAAGATGATTATTTATTCTAACGAATCTTTCTTCTATTCCTCATTTGGCTAATAAACAGAAGTTTTGCTGCTGTTGAAGCATCTTATTTATTAATTAAATTATGTATTAAATTTATATGCTGCCCTTTTCACTGCTAAAGTGACTGTTGGTATTGGGCAGGAAATTATAAGCTTATATTCAACAAAAATGAGCACTTTGATATCTCTGTGTATTACAATAATCCAGGACTGAAAGCTTTTACTAGCCTATAGGAAGGAGAATATCCAAATTCCATTTTTCATTCCACTCATTCTCTGTGAGCGCTCTTACACCATTGGTATCTTTCTAAGGCCATGTTTCAACTGCTGCCTTTCATCACTGCAAAGTAGCAACAGAGAAAGCCATTCAGTTTTGAAGGGCAGGTGGAGTAAGATGAATCAGGTTGTTCCTCAGAGAGACTGGAAATGTGTATCA